CCGACCAGCTTTGTAGCAAGCTGTCGGAAAGGTCTGAAGATACTTCATGTGGGCCCGAACCGGTACGAGGATCGGATTGACCACAATTAAGGCGCCGGGGGGCGGACCACGACGAGGTCCAAGGAATAAAAGGGCCTCATCGATGAAGCACTACTTACACATGCTAGTAACTCCCAACACAGTTTGAGGGTAGATTGGCAAATAGAATAAGCGAATAAAAGCAGTCCATGCTATCGCCCTCCGCCGCGCGCTGGCCACCTTCAGAACATTATTAAAAAAATGAATATTTACACTATGTTGCAAACTACATTGTGTATTTATGTATTTATTAAAATTGATGCACATTTAAATATATATATATTAAAGTTAAGTAATTTTACAAGTATGAATAATAAAAATCACAGTCGTAAATGTTTACATTATTATGAAGTTTTATTGTGTCCCTACATTTTGTGAATATTTAAATGTGAAATATTTTGTGTTAATATTAAATTTCTGTACATGTATATGTGTCATTGCTTGTGACTGTACAATGACCTCGATAAATCGACAATGCGACATCATCTTGTCACTTGAGACAGTAAATAAATAAAGATTTATTTAAGTTATGCAATAACATACAATAATATGGTTACTGTGACCAGTGAGTAGAAGACAATCACTGTCATAATTTATGAAAAGAACAAGTTGTTAAATTTCTACTGGTATTTGTTCGCTAATCTTAATAAACTTACAAGATTTACGATGTTTTGATATAATTGGCAACCAACCATAAACATTAATTTAATTATGTTTCATAATGATCGGTTTCAGGAATATAATCTGACGCTAGGTATAAAAGAAGGATGAACAAAAGTACATCATAAGAAGTTCTTGATTGATTATTGTGTCTAGTACGTTGAAAAGATATTGGACAAATATTTATTTCATGTAACTTAACTTAACGTTAACTTTCTGGCTAAAACTATAAAAAATAACCTAATATTTTCTATAATGATATTAGGTCATATAAAAAGGCTCCGCAGCATTTTGGTACATTTTTGAATGAAAATTTTCTGTATTAAAAATCTATTTTAATTAAGTACGTATTGACCATTAGTATTTACTTATGTCATTTTTCGATTAAGTTCGAGCTTCATAATCGGTATAGAACTGCTGGATTATCGTCGAAAATCTTGGCCAAGGAGCAAGCATAGCAAACCTGGGTTTTTCGTTTACTCATAGCATTCTCAACATATACTTTACAAATTTTTCGGCAAGTTTTTGCAGTGTTTTTAACTATCTTGTGAAAGTTAAATATACGAGGGCTGCTATTTATGTATCCGGAACTGGCCAGTTTCAGAACAATATTTAAAAAGTAATTAAAACAACATTTAAAAATGGAACTCTTTGGCTGAAGCATATAATTTGTTTCATGTAGCTGTCATTTGTTTATCCACTGTGGCGTCATTTTAAAAATTGCGTGTATTTATCACTATACGAGTAGATGTAACTCGTGAAAATTTTCGTGATATTTATTACGATTATTGTTGTTATTACGATTATTATTGAGATATGTTATTGTTTATTACGATTTTCGGCCAGGCCTAACTCAAAAACAGTGCATCGATCAACTCACTTCGACTTTGTATCACCGAAGCACCTGTGTATCACTGGTTTAGTGAGTTTAATCGAGGGCGGTCTGTGTTCACTGACGAATATGTTGCCCTAAATCGGTTGTTGTACCTCAAAATATTGATGCTGTGCGGGAACTAATAATGCAAGATCATGTTACACATCGCGAGATAGAGGCGTCTCTGGGAATAAGTATGACGAGTATATATAAAATATAACACTAGCATTTAGCTTTAAAATAAAATTTCATCACGTTGGATGCACGTTGGATGAAACGGGATCGTGTCGATTGGTATAAAAAATGTTACAAAAGTACAATCACGGTGCGTCAAAAGCTGTCTATAATATCTACACAGGTAATGAATTTTGGATATTTGCGTATGATCCTAAAACTAAACAACAATCAACGGTTTGGGTGTTCCAAGATGAGCAGAACTCAACAAAAAGCACTTTGAAGCAAATGGTCGCTTGTTTTGGACATGTGGCTACAGAGCCCCTGGAGGATCGTAAAACGGTTGATTCTAAATGGTACACGACCATTTGTTTGCCAGAGGTCTTTGAAGAAATAAGAAAAAATAACCGACAACGCAGAATCCTTCTTCATCATTAAAATGCTAGTTGCCACACATCGGCCGAAACAACTCAGTATTAATTAATTATAGAATTAACGGATCCGTGAAGAATAAACTACGTCGTCAACGTTTATCGAGCCGTGAAGAGGCTGTTGATGCCTTCAAAATGCACGTTTTAGAGATACCGCAATCAGAATGGAAAAAGTGCTCCAACGTATGCAATATGAAAATTGCTTACGTTGATTAATACGAAAACATCACACAGCGAGTTTCTTTAGATATTTTACTCATTTTCAAATAAATATAAACAGCACTTGTTTAGCAGCACCAAATAGAAAAATTAATACCCAAAAAATGTAAGTTGAAATGTCACTTTTGCACCAACACTTTTATACCCTGTTGGGTACATCCACCGTACTCGTATGCTGGGCCCTACATATAAGACCCAGCGTCTAGGACAACCGATCAAATGAAAACAAAATCGATGGGCAGAAATATATGCGAACTGTGTATATCAATCAATTCAGGATTTGAGCGTGACCTAAGGGAATGGGAGTGGGAATTTACAAAATAAAAACTTGACATTCATCTTTAATTTGAAGGAAATAATGTAAGAAAGACAAGAAAATTATAATTTGCCGATTTCCATAAGCCGAAGTAGCAAAAATCGTCTTTATCGTTAAATAGCATAGACCTTGAATGAATAAAAAATGATTTCAAGAATATATTTCATTTTCTAAATAATTTAATTAACTGAAACCTTTACTTTCACTTTTTTCAATTTCCTTCATTTTGCCGCAACAATTTTAAAAGAATAAAAAAAATTTGTAACCGTCAGATTTAAATACCCCGCAAAATTATGGTCCGATTAAAGATGTACGAGTATACATAGTCATCCACGGAGCAAATACAAGGTGTTGTAATTTCCGGGGTGAGGAGGTGTTAAGCTCCGCCCACTTCACTTTTTTACACTACTCACAACGCAAGTGTAAGGGGCGTACCTCTCAGAATTTTTGTACCAATGAGTTTTTTTAAGAATTATTTTCTGAACCATCTAGATACTTACATCTATTGCAAAAACCTTACTCATATTATAATCGTGCTAACCTCCCGTCCGTGTCCGTGTCCCGGTCCGTGTGGTGACGGATTAAGAATACAGTGTCATCACCCCTATTTATCCCGTGGGTGTCGTAAGAGCCGACTAAGGGAAAAAACTACGCAGAACAACAGCACTGCAGAGAGAAGGAAAACTTGACACAAACCCTATACCAACCCGTCTGGCCAGCGTGGTATAGTAGGCCAAAACCTCCTTTCTAAGGAGAGGCTTATGTCCAGCAGTGGACTATTAAAGGCTGTTGATGATGATGATGATGATGATGAACCTTCCTAATTTTATAAAAGCGAAAGTTTATGTGTTCTTTCGTTCTCGTTGACTTATCCCACGCTATCTACAGTGTGTGCACGCTGAAACGGCTGGACGGATTTGGATAAAATTTGGTATACAGATACCCCCTCGCCACGCAATTGTCAGGGGTTGTTTGATAGGGAAATCTAATAAACTAAGCAAATACAAGGAGGAGGTGTTGTACCTCCACCACCACAAGTCTAAAATCTTTCAGAATGTATACTTTGAAGATGTTTTAAAAGCTGGAAGATACTGTTCCATAGTGTTGTATGGAGCTGGGAAATGGACAAACTTGAAGATCTGCAAGTATTTCTTGAACAAATGCGATACGAGTCCTTCGTTAAAGTTACAACAACAAAATAATGCTTTCAAATTATCATCGCTTGCTTCTACAGTTGATGATGAAAAGAGCATACGAAACGATGTTATCTGCAGATTCAAGTTTGGCTGGGTAGTAAAATTATGAAACCAACTGATTGGGGGTGAACAAAAATTGGAGGGTTCTTAAAACCTACGTTGGACTTTTCTACCACTCTACTTGTGGTGGATGTTCTGGTCAAAACGGTCAGAATAGCGCTCTAATTATAGACCAAGACGATGAAGAAGACATCGATAGTGATGATGATATTTTGTAAATTCATTTAAAATTTTCTTGCAATTTTTTTTATATAATTTTTTGCTTGTGAATATATATGTAATAAAATTGGCACAACTAATAAATAAAAAAAGTGATAGAAACAACTATTTAATAATAATAATTTTCTTATAAGGGGTAGTTTTTAAGAGATGATTGCAAATAAATGTTTTGATATACTGAATTTAAAAAAAGTTTTTTTTTGATGAAGCATTATATATTGTAAAAATGTGTTTCCTGCACATATTTTTTTAATTAACTATAATAGGGGTGGTTTTTAGGATGAAAACTACTTATAACAATTTTATTAAGTTGTATACGATTTAAATACACTAACTTCTTTGTATCATTTTTTTTGGTAACAGGGGTATTTTAAAAGGGTATAAAGAATAAAATTAGGGGTGTAAAACTTACAAAAAGTGTTCCAAACTCTCTTTAATGAAAAGCTATATACTATTATTTCATTCGTTAAATGCCTACATTTATGATTCTATTATTTATGTCAATTAGGGGTAGTTTTGATCCCTAAGAGTCATTAGCACACATCTCTCACTTCAGTAGAGCTTAATTCCAAATTTTCAAAAAATACCATCTTCCTTGAAAAATTGGGAGATTGCAGCTTATTTTTTTCGTTATTCACTGGACTATTAGTGAAACAGGCACGATATAGATTGTTTAAAGACAATTTCATATTTGCCAGAAACATAAAAGGCTCTAATTATGTAAAGGCCTGAATGTTAAATTGTACTCTCAACAGTAAAAATGATTAAAATGTTTATAGTGGACTTACCCTTAATCTTTGATCGCCGACTGTCCACACTCGACTCGCGAAGTCATTGGAAGCCCCAACAATGTATGCACCTGTAGCATCAAAATCTACAGACATCACGCCTGCATTCGAGCCCACTAGGGTTCCCCTGTTTTCTATCATACCTGAAAATATACAAAAGTTTTATTACATTTTTATGTTAAAGGATGCGGACTTCAGGGACATAGACAATTCTAGTTATTATTTATACTCCATCTATACTATCTATCCATTTACATCACATAATATATCTATTTTTTTAGTTATCTTTCCCTTTCAATACCCATATTTATACATATTTAAATCCTAAAGTGACATGTTGAGGACAGCCAAGTCTGCGTAAGTGAGACTGAAATGTGTTTGATACTTCTGCCTACCCTAAGTGTATATGTATAGAAGTATTATTTAAACACTCAGAGTTTCTCGTTTACCCATCTAATGTTTGAGTTACAACGTGATAAACGGCAGGTAAATCTTACCGCGGGGCATCACGCACAAGCCTTCGTGGAATGTAAGTACACTGCGTATTACGCATTAAAAATGTAATCATGTGCAGATCCAGCACCGTGTATCTTTTCTTAAAACTTTATGAAAATTTAAGAAAAGTACGAAATTAGTTCAGAGAAAACTTCATTAAAATTTAAGAAAAATACGAAAGAAGCAACCTTGAATATCTACTGGTGAAAAATCGTAACCGTATAGAAGTATGAGTGAAAATAAGATTATAAATGTTTATTAATTAAAGTTGTTTAAGAATACGTAGACTGTTGATTTAACTTACATTTAGAAACATCCCATAATTTGACTTTTCTGTCTGCACCTCCAGTTGCAACGATTCTATCTGTCGGACTCCATTTCACAGAATTGACTTCACCGTCATGCGCATCCTGTCATAATAAAATTAATTATTATTAGAACTATAATACATTATCCTACCCGTAATACCGTGCGACCACTTAAACCACTACGCCATCCGTGCAGACTTTAAGTAGGTACTTTAAGAGTGAAAACCAAGAAAAGAATTGCTAATCACCGGTTTTCGTCCATACGTGCAGAAACATTCGCGATATCTTATTTACGTTACTATGGAGTCTGGTTATTAAGGGTGACTAGATAACGATAGGTGAGGTGATATAAGATAGTGGTTAGCTATTTTATATAAGCTGTATTTAGTTATAAAATGAATACTGCATGAGTATTAAATTCGTATTCGCAAGGTATGACCCATAGCTAAACAAAAAGGTGTGAAAATAAACTAAACCTGCTGTAGCCAAACTATTGCACAAAAACAAGCGAAGTACTAATAATATTAAATAGAAGTAATAATATTTTCTTGAATTAGACTTTCAAAACATTTTTTTAATATTTATTTCTATTCGACGTTGTACCTAAAACTGATGCATGCAAACGATGTGAACTTTCCAAACATTAGACAATTTTGCAGCAATTTTTTAAGCAACACGGAAATTACGTAGAACACGCAAGTCACTAAACTCAGCATTTACCGAGTTTTTTTTTTAAATTTTAGATAAGAAGTTGGACAACTATTTAAGACCAACAAGTAGTTTTCAGTCATGAGCCTTCACTGTTGGATCTTCTGCTGACCTCCCATCCGGACGGTTGCAAAAGCCCCGTTGAAGCCCCACTTGGCTCCTCGGATCATTGTCTAAGCAGTACAATGCCACTCACGTGCTTGCCGCAGCCGCGAGTTGCAGGCTGCCGCCGTGTGTTGCACTATAGGTCAGCGGACTGGGATGAGATGCGTTCCTTCTTTGCGTCCTACCCATGGAGGCAGATCTGTTTCTTGCCGGATGATCCCACCGTCGTTGCCAAGCATGGGCAAATGCAGCGACGGCAGGCGATGTATATGTACCAGCACGCTAAACAAACAATATAACTTTGCCTCCAGGTCCCTTAAAAGAGCCATTACTAGGGCGAAATCGGAGCACATCAGCCGGATCGGTAAGAGACTAGTGAGACTTCCTTCTGCAACTCGTGCATTCTGGTCTCTTGCCAAGGCTGTCCAGGGGAATTTCAGTGCACCAGGGACTTCCTTTCTAGGGTATACCTGGTTCCCCGGCTATTAGTACCCGAGACGGCGTGCGGCTTTAATCGGTTCGAGTCCGACATGCCACCGATAGGTGGTATCCGTGGGGATTTCCGCACGGAAAAAAAAAAGGGGGAATTTCAGTAGCCAATCCTTTCCACCCGTGCAGATAATTCGTTAAAGGAGAAAGCTGATGTCCTAGGCAAATTCTTTGCATCCAACTCGACTTTGGATGACGGGGGAAACGTACCGACTACCTTACCGCGGTGCCAGTGCTATATGCCGGATATCCGGTTCACACAAAAATCAGTGAGTAAAGCACTCTTTTCCCTTGACATTCATAAGTCGTGTAGGCCCGATGGATTTCTTCTATCATGTTGCAGACGTGTGCTAAGGAGTTGGCACCTGTTTTAATACGCCTTTTCGGTCCCTCCTACTCCCAAGGCGTCGTCCCGAACTCCTGGAAGGTAGCGTTTGTGCACCCGATCCCTAAAAAAAATGACCGCTCTGACCCGTCCAACTACAGGTCTATAGCCATAACTCCCTTGTTCTCTAAGATTATGGAATCCATAATCAACAGCCAGCTAATCTGGTACTTGGATGATCACCAGCTACTCAATGACCGGCATAATGGTTTTCGCCGGGGTCGCTCAGCTGGTGATCTTCTCATCTTTCTAACACACCGGTGGGTACAGGAGATCGAGACCAAAGGAGAGGCTTGTGCGGTTAGTTTGGACATAGCGAAGGCCTTTGATCGGGTCTGGCATAAGGCGCTTCTCTCGAAGCTCCTTTCCTTTGGGCTTCCCGAGAAATTGTGTTATTGGGTCAACAGCTCCCTTACGGACAGAAGCATTAAGGTCGTTGTCGACGGTGCATGCTCCGACTTGCAATTCGTAAATACTGGTGCCCCACAAAGCTGTGTGCTATCACCCACACTGTTTCTTCTGCATATCAATGACATGTTGCAAACTAGTAGCATCCAAACATCTCCGATCGGCTCGATCCCTTGGCGTTACGTAGAGATGTCGCTTCACTCTGCATTCTCTATCGCATATATCATGGAGAGTGCTCCGAGGAATCGTTCGGACTAATACCAGCCGCAAATTGCCGCCATCGTTCCACACGGTAAAGTTTTCACCCTCGTTATTGGCGCTCCACTACTGTGCACTTTTCGAGACACTTTTTGACCCGCACAGCCAATCTGTGGAACGGGTTATCGTCTGCGGTATTACCGGACCGATACGACCCTCAAACCTTCAAGAAAAGAGCGTACTCCTTCCTAAAACGCCGGCAACGCGTTTGTGAGTCCTGAGTTGCAGACGTTCATGGGCGGCGATAGTCACTTTCCATCAGGTGACCCGTCTGCTCGTCTGCCGCCATCGTCGTTTGTTATCTTATACACTACTGTACATTGTAAAATTGCTGTGCTGTTCGTCTATTCATACTTCCCTAGAGTTTAGCGAGTCCAGGTAAAACGAACTAGTTCTTGCGACCAATTCTTCAAAAAAAATATTTATAGCTTTATTTTTAAATTGTTTACACTTCCTTAAGGCGACTAAATGAATGCCCAAAATATAATAAACAAGGATATTTTCTTTTATAAGACTTTTAAAATACTTCTTGCAGTATAACCACGGTTGGCTGTATTTCGCTTATTAATAAAAAAAAAATATAGTTTTAAAAAAACAAAAAAACAGGCTTTCTATAGAAAACCAAACTAAAAAATAGAAAATAAATTTGAAAAAAAAAGCGTTGGGTGCCTGTTGTCAATAGTAAAAAGCACCCCACGCTTTTTTTCAAACTTTTAAAACTGTTTTTTTTTTTAAATTAGTGTATTGTCAAAGTAAACACACACAAACAAAGTTTGAACGAATTCTGACCGTTTAAAGTCAGTCAAAATCACGCCCAAAGGAGTCGGTTACAAACATACAAACAAACATACAAGTGAAGCTAATATAAAGCATGTAAAAATATAAAGGGACCAAGAAATTTAACATGATATTTATAAAGAATATGTATGTATGTAACTTACAAATCTCAACGCCACTTTATTCGGTAATACTGTTGCATAATATGGCATTGAGTCCAATATTTTTTCATCAGTACTGCCACCAGACCCGCTACTCCGGCTCCCACTTTCCCTCGCCGCCTCCTCAAGCTCCTTTCGGACTTTATCGTTTTTCTTTCTGGAAGAATACAGTAAAACGTATATCAGAAATCCTTAAAGTTGCGCTCACCACATGTTCTAAAACCGCTATGACCGCTTTTCCGGGAAGCCATAGTTGCAAGTGCAATATTTGCCAAAAAAATTTACTTATCGAAATGACTTATCTTTCACCCAATAAAATATATTATTAATAACATGCACATCCATATACATCAGCAATCATTGTGTGAAATTAGTTTTTTGCTATATGCGTCCAAAGCATCTTGATGAATCCATATTTACATGAAGTTGTAAGGCTGGCAGGTAAAAATATTGTATGAGAAAATCATGTAAATGACCCATAAGTCATTCAAAAATTTATATTACTTATCTGCAGGTCTCATGGATACATACAAGGGTGGTTATTGACTTAACTAAAACACAAAGGTACAGCTTAACAATGATCAAGGAACTTTTACAAGGCTCTTTAGAAGGCTTCTCTTAAATTTTATATCCAGCTCACATAATCACAATTTTTCTTTTCGTCTAAATGTTGTTTATCATTAAATTCTAAGTATCAATTAACACAATTTGTTAAGGATGTCTAGTACATTTAGAACAGCTACAAAACCAAAAACTGTTTAAACACTAATATTTAATTTTTGTGTATTACATACATACTACAAATTATCTATTACTAAGTTAGTCAGTAAGGTAATAGGTATGTCACAAAATATTTATAATTGAACCAAACAGCCAAATATTTAATAATATTTAGTAAGTAATTTTCAGCAACCATTCCTAAAATGCATAGTTTTTATCGCATTTTATAACGTAGCCGGATCACACAGAGTTTACAACAAATATATATTTGCCTATAAATAAATAATTATATGTACATGCAGAACGCATAGTATTGATGAAATTGACTTCAAAACACAATTGCCAAACTACATGTTATTTTTCACTAATTTCTTACTTATATCCTTTCACACATTTTACTTTATATAGCTACATATTTAAAGTAAAATAAGTAAAATAATAATAAGTATTAGGAAATATGCGAAAATAGATCAAACAAAACAACTTGAATTAAATTGAATTAAAACAACTTATAAAAACGTTTATTTATAAAAATATTACGCGTTAGATGTGGTAATAAATTTAGTAAACTCAAAAGTCTAAATTCAGCCTAGATAAAAACTATTAAATTTATTTTATTAAGTAAACCGCAAACTTTACAATAATTTTGCAGTATTTGTTGCATTGCATTCTTAGATATATATAAATTGTGACGCAATGTGTATTCACTCGTTAATCTATTTTAGAATTCGGTAGTACGTATGACCCAAGGGCAATATTTGAATTTCATAAATCGTCGCATAGCCGATTACTACAGCGACTGGAACAGAATTGACGTATTTTATTAATAGAACGAAAGTAGTTACTGGATGTGAAAGGAAATTCGGTTTTAAAGTCGCAAACTGAGAACATGCACACGCAATCACACGAGAATATGTAAGTAAATAAAGAGTATGACGCAAATAATATGCATGTATGAGTTTGTGAACAGTGACAACGAACAAACCATAAATAATGACGGTCCACTCAAGTATGAAATTATACATGATTGCCACAGTAATTTTTATGTATGTATAACATAAAATGTAACAGAAAAATACATTATTTACTTTAATAAAACCAAAATCAAGATAGAAAAATAAATAATGAGTCAGTTTCAGAGTGCAGTTAAGACATAAATATATGGGCCAATTTCATGAAGAGGATATGTTCAATAATGAACACCACAATGCCTTCAAACCACCACATCTTCATTCACATTATGTCAAACTCACCCAAAACTAACTCTAGCAAACGGTTTGATGAAAAACGCGGTAGGGTTGCTTGACCTGTTGAAGAAATTAGACAAAAAGAAGCAAAAACAAAAAATATGGGTCCTTATGCAAGCTTTCTAAGCCTGGCACACACAAATCCCACACTAATAACGACATTTGCCATAATAAAAATACAGATTGAAAAACACAAATAACATCAATGAATGTGCTTAAACTACTTATACTTGTCAAGTATAAATCAAGATTAAATCCAATCGATTTATAGACGTATTTAAAAAAAATGCATACATATTTAAACTTTTACTTTTAAATTTAATTAAATTTATTCTATTTCCATCTCAATATCGTTCTATTTTCTATTTCAATATCGTTCATACTTGACAAGTATTCTACATTGCAGTGCACATCAATACTATAATAGCAGCGACATTCACTTTTAAAATCATTGCAGCTCCAATACTCACAGGCAAAAACAATTATAACATTAACATTGAATATGTATTATGCTACCGACCGAATGCCCCCATAAAAAAATAATTATCTTATACTTTTAGTTTTAACAAGATAAAGGTCGCTTTCCGTGGACCGATGTGCCTTATATGACAACAATACCTTACAGACTGAAAAATTAAACATGCTGAAGAATTTAGATATCAATATACACTAGTTCTATTCTCAATAAAAATAAGAAATACTTACTTGAGGAAGTGTTCATTTTCTTCATTCATTTTATCTGCATCCTTAGCTTTGTATTTTATTAATCTTTCCACTAAAGACCGATTCTCATCCTACAACGAAAGAAACTCACGGTGAATAATAACACTTTAGTATTTCATATCATCACTTATCAAACAAAGATATATTACCCTTTGGAAAACCTTACGCATATTCAGTACACTAACTATTAATAATAACAACTCCTTTATATAAATAACAAAATTTGTGAAAATTATCTTTGGAATCAATAGCTGACACAATGCCACGAAATTTCTATCTGACTGAATGTAAATTGCTTGAGACTCAGCTATACGCATTTCATACAGAGCTGTTATCACGTGAGTATCGTAAAATATACAGGCTGATATATATTTCATGACATTCTAATACTAAAAACGGAACAGAACGGCTTTCGGCATAATAGTTAATTACTTGAATGACATACAATTTAAGCCTGCGATGGGTGTGTACGTATAATTTAAAAGGACAACATCTGTTTAATTTGCGAAGTGAGTAATGAACAGTGCTGAACATAAGTCTTTGTATTTTCTAGTGTTAAAGTTAGGTAAATATAAAAAAAGGTGTAATGCTTAAAAATAATTTGCGTATATATTAATAATTTGTATATGTAGGTTTCCGTATACAGATACACAGATATATTTATAATTTGTATATGTAGGTTTCCGTATAAGCAATATCGATTTGCCTAGTTATAAATAAATGAATAGGTGTTCGCTTATTAAGCGACACTAAAGTCATAGTCGGCAAAATTCGGGCGTTAAATACGCGTCTGTCTACCCCTTTTGGAGATAAAAAAAACTTGAGGGTACGTACTTTTAATATAGGTTTTAATGTAAGTTGACACTATTAGAATTTATCAAAAATGAACAGAGAACAGATATATATGATAGTTTATAGGAGAAGAGAGTGACCGGTAAGAACCGAGAATGCATTGCCCATGTCTAAGGATTTGAGAATATTTTTATCTCGTTTTTCGAAACTTTTAATCGTGTTTTTTTTTGTCTAAGTTTTTTCAATCAAAGTTTATAAGTAGAAACTACTTATCCGTTGTAACAGAAAGAGTGAAAAGAGTATGCTAACGCAGTGAAAAGAGTATGCTATAATAATGAAATGTAAATTATTTTAAAACGTGTATTACAAATTTTAATCTAATAACCACGAAGAAACTATTATTTTACTTGTGCCACAAGTTAATTAATAGGCAACGTACTTAATGTCGATAGGTACGAGTACCTACTAAAAAATCTTACAAAGGCTTGCGGCATTTGGTTGTTGTTTTTTTCATGGTAGAATGATCATAACACCTGTTGTTAATATTACAACAATCATGTTATTAATTTTTTGTAATGTTACAATAAGTTGACAAATGTGGTAGAATATTATTACCATTTAATAAAATAAAAAAATCTTATGTTAAATAAGAAATGTTAGAAACCAACGCTAACTGTGGAGAACTTAACTTCACTAACACGTTGAAGCAAGAACAAGCTAAAAACAAATTTTGTGTGATTTATCTATATTCAATTAAATAGGAACCTCACCCTTTTAAGTAGGTATTAGTCTATAAACAATTTTTTTTTAAAGAAATGTTTTTTTTCATCGACCGAAAAAAACATATTTTTACAAGACAAGGTTCAGGTCAACTCGACAGAATAAATAAATAAAATGAGAATGAATATAACACTATATATCTTACTTTTCAGAAAAAAAAAGTAGTTATAGTTATTGGCTTTTGATTTTCGGCTTCTGTATTTGAGTAAAGGAGTTTTTAACATATTTTAAATTTATTTTTGCATGTCATTCTCCTCTGCCAAAATTCGTCAATTCCTGACTGTTGAGATCAAAACTTGACTGTTGAGAAAATAAATCCTTCCTCCTTCATTATTAAATACATTTTTGTAAACATTCTTGTAAGAAATAAATAGACTCTTTAAGTGTTTTTTTTTAAACTTAAATGTTAAATGTTTTTTAAAATATGATAGGTATACTGAATGGTGCTAATTGTTTGTAGAAAGCCTATTACGATTTTGAAAACTATAGGGATGCAATTTGTCATATAAAAGACATTCATATTTATATTGTAACGAGAAGTTACTCGAGCCAACATTGTGTTGAAGAATATATTAAGCGGATTGGTATGTTTAAATATGAAACACGCTGAATATTCGTAAAGACAAGCTAGAGTCAACCTGGACACTTGCCAAATTTTAAATGATACTATAAAAATCTGAAGTTCCAGTGGAAAAAATTATCATAACGGCTACCAGTACTATGCCAAAAATATTTCAGTCAATATAAACAATGGCAGGCACGCATCAAACGTAGTGGAACATACAGTTTTTATTATAAGACAAACAAACATCAATGGGGTTTAATTATCCATACATAAAATCCTTGATTTATGACTTAGGCATTGAGGGTAATTGGAAAGTGTTACGTGGGATGCTGTATAACAGCCGTATAATAAGTGCCAGTTTAAATGTATCTGATCGTTCTGCTGATATCTATTCAGCCGTTGAGTTCATTTGCCGATTTGTGCTATTCAGATATGTTATTAAAACTTATTAAATAAAATAAGACAGTTCCAACGGTTATTTTATGGAATCTCCGCCAATATTATAAATGCAAATATAATTTTCTTAGTTTGAGTAGTTAAGTCGGGAAGGAATATTTACGTTCAACCAATCATCATAAAACTTTGCATCCGCATCGTTAGGGTTACCGAAATAAACTCATGTGGTACGGGAATATTTTTGGATTATAGATAGCACAAAGGGACCATGGGGGTTCCAACACAGGAGGGGTCATCTACACGCCGTGAATGGCCCGAGGTACGTCGGAGTAATAGGGATTTCCTTTCTAGGGTACACCTTATTCCCCGGTTACTGGTACCCGAGACGGCGTGCGGTTTTTAGTCGGTTCGAGTCCAGCATAATCATGACGGTAGTATCCAAGGGGATTACCGCACAAAAAATTAAAATAAAAAAAGGTTTCATATTCATCTACTGCATTATTGAATATTATCTTGACGCTTTTTTTAATTTTATTTAACTTCCACTACATTTGGGTACATGTAGTTACATTCTTTGTCCCCCAAAACCGGGTTGATGGTTTGACTGGGGGATCGAGTCTCCGTACATTTTGTCTCTTTTAAATAATTTAAAAAACTATTATTCACAGCGCAAACTTATTATAATAAATCTAAAAAATACTTTTAAGTTTCCTCTTAAATACAAGTTTTCTTTCCTGATGTCCAACGGCAGACTATTAAGCTAAGGCACTCGTTTCTTTAAAGTTCTGTCACCATAATAATTTTGTACTCTTGGAACAGTATATCCGCCGTGGGTCACCGAGCGAGTCTTATATTAACTAGTGACTTTTCACAATTCATTCTCCCGACTGCCAAGATTATTTACTAAAAGTTGGTACTTGTGTTTTAATGTAACTGGTAGAATTCTACATATTTTATTAAATTTGGCGTAATCCTTCTCTTAATGCACATTTTAAAATATCTTACTTTTGTTAATTATACCTATATTCAATAAATAGAAGTAGGTAATAGAATCTGCTAGTATTCCGCTAGATGTTTTTCCAACAACTTAACTCCATGCAGATAGATGAAATGATGACGTCATTGTGGTTAGAACAAATTTGTCAGACACTTATTTTAAGCTTGGACAGTTTAGATTTTTCGTTGCCTGTTTATAGTTTTAATGTGTATATAATGAAATGATTAGAAGTGTGATTAGAAAGATGTTATATGTGACCCAGCCATAGGAAGACCTCGTAAAGTTCAAAAGTATCAAAATCATATTCATTTGCAAAAATATTGTGACAATTAGTGCTACAATGGAGGGTGTTCAAGACACAAATATTTTGACCAGAATACTGGTGTTCAAAAGCATTAAATAAAATCAAGATAATTAATTATGTCAAGCAGAGTAAATAACCATTACTAGGTCAATAAAAATGATTAAAAAAGATGTCATACGGCAGAAAAAACACAATAATAGTTACAAGCATAGTCTATTATAGAATAAAAATAGTAAGTCAATTGTCATCTATATAAATAATTATTCAATGTCTTGCTATTGCAATCAAAGCAAAGAGGCCTAATGAAAATTAAGAGTATTGTTCACAAATAGACGTAAATCTAATACATAATAACTAGCTAATCCGGCAAACGTTGTGTTGCCATTTACATTAATTCTAGGAAATATTGAAAAAAAATCTTTAGGGGTGGGTCACCCTTGTCATTTAGGGGTATGAAAAATAGATGTTGGCCGATTCTCAGACCTACCCAATGTGCTTACAAAATTTCATAAAAATCGGTCCAGTCGTTTCGGAGGAGTATGGTAACTAACATTGTGACACGAGAATTTTATATAGATATAAGATATAAACTAACTTAAATGTAATCGTGTAATTTGTCGTTTAGATAATTTGCTAGAGTATAATAGTATTTGCTTACTAATCATTCATTTCTTTTTTCTTGAACACATTAAACACTGCTTCCTTCACTGTTTTTGGCATTTTCAAAATGTGTAAGTGATTCCACATGGAAAATACTTTTACGCAACAATGCAGTATTTGTTTTACGCATACAGAGTCAAAATGTATCATGTATCAAAAATAATAATCAGATCTCACATCGCCTTTAACCATCTAGCTAATACATATAGGAATGCTTGAAGACTTAGACACCGTATCATTTTACTCGAAAGAATCATACTACACCGACCGACTGTTGCGCTTACAAATGCCAACCAACAGAACATTTTACACTTTTAAATGAATTTTTACATCTGTAAAATTCACGCTTGGACATTTATATAAATGTAAATAAAATGATAAAAAAAAAGTAAAAAAAAAAAGTTTAAGACATGATTGTTCAATTTAACAATCTGGAAAAAACGCTTGTAATTTTTTTTTTTCGAACCCAGCATATCACAGCAGTAGGAAACGGCGAGGTGACCGCTTAAATCACTACGCCATCCGTGCCATCAGTTCTGGTATTATTTTACTACCCTACCCTTACTGCCCCCAACTAACTAACTAAGAGAACAGAATATAACTAGGTTTAGGACTATTCCTAGTTATATTCTGTTCTCTTGGCCTCAAAGAATAAACGGCCCCCGTTACTTTACTC